GGAACACCAAAAGCACCTGCTTCTGAACAGCCTGTTAAGGGTCCTGGTGAAATTGGTGGTCAAAATCCGCAAGACCGTCACGATGAAAATAGTATACCTGCTGCTGAAGGTCATAGTGATAGTGCTCCCGGTAAAAATAGAGACACTGGTTCTGTTGTGGGTACTGGTGGTGTTGCTGGTAGTCGTACTTCCACTTCTGAAACTTCTATGCCTCCTGCTGTTCCTTCTCCTTCTACTGCAGGGAACAGTGATGTTCCTTCTGAAAATCCTCAACATGCAAACAATGAAGCAAGTGAAGGTGCGCCATCACCAACTACCCCTTCTTCCAGCAATTCAGCCACAGCAAGTAACGGTGGTTCAAATAATGCATCAACTGAGAATGATAATACACCTTCAGGGAGTGAGTCAACAACCAACCAAGACGTTTCTGCAGATAATACAGATACAACCACCACCACCACCACCACAACAACAACAACACTTCCTCCTGAACTCACAAACAACAAGAAGGGTGATGCAGACAGCAGCAGCAGTATCAGCAGTTCTGTGTGGGTGCGTGTACCACTACTGATTGTGGTTACACTGGCCTGTATTCTTGTGTGCTGATTGTGGTGGTTGTGATGGTGTGACTCAGGTCATCCTTTGTTTTCTTTTCTTCTTTTTTTTTGCGTGTATCCCTACAGTCTAACGAATCTTCCACCTGTTGGGAGTTTCTTCTTTTTATGTTTGTTAATGTTTTTTCTGTGTGTTTACTCTCTGTGTGTTTATCCTATAATAATTATTCCTGCTTCATTGTGTGTTGTTGGAGACTCTCTGTGTGCACCTGGGCTTGCACTGTGATGATGATGATGAACTGCTTTTTGCAGTGGGAAAAAGAAATAATAATAATAACAGATGAATTTATATTTATAATTGCTTATATACAAACATATAGAATTACACCCATAGTTGGTGTGTATTTCTGTGTTTACTGGGTACGTTGGGCTAATGGTTAATATCTGTTTGTTTGCTTGTGGTTTGCTTGGGCACTGTGTGCTCTCTCCTGCATTGTTGTGTGTTGGAGTGTTTTGTGGGGAGAGAAAAAATGATAAAGAATACATAAGTATATTTGTAATTGTGCTTGGTCCTACAGGAAGAGGCATTTTTTATTTGTTTCTGTGCTGTGTGCTACTGATGGTCGTTCTCTTTAATTTCTTTTTTTTTTTTGGGGTTAATTGGGATTATGTGTTTGTTATTGGGTATTGTGTGGGTTTTTACTTTAATTTGGGCACTATCTGAGTTATGGTTGCAGCTCTCTGTAATGTGTGTGCCTCTGCTGTAATTGTTGATTGTTATTTGATTTGGTAATGTGTGTTCTTATTTTTTTTTCATTGATTCTATTTGTTTCTGTTTTTATTATTGGGGTTTCTTGTGTGTAAATGATTGAAGTAAGACTACTACAAGAAGTA